CAGCTCGGAGACCAAGAGGACTCGCTACAAAGCAGTGGAAGCAGGCTGGGAGACCAACAGGATTCGTTATGAATCCTAGAGGTCAGCTCGGAGACCAAGAGGACTCGCTACAAAGCAGTGGAAGCAGGCTGGGAGACCAACAGGATTCGTTATGAATCCTAGAGGTCAGCTCGGAGACCAAGAGGACTCGCTACAAAGCAGCGAAAGCAGGCTGGGAGACCAACAGGATTCGTTATGAACCCTAGAGGTCAGCGCAGAGGACCAAGAGGACTCGCTATGAACCCCTGTAGGTTCACGTTTTTATTTAGAAGTACCATCTTTCAACCCAATACCTTAGTGTGCCTGTTTGATACATTTTCAGAAGTGTATTGCAGATGCCTCCGATCACACGTCTGACTGGATGTGGGTTCTTCTGTGGCTCTTCTGTAACCGACTGGCTGTCTTTGTCGGTTTCCTCATGAGATGGCTCCTGGTTTTCTTGTTCCACTAATTCCCTGAACCTTTTGTTCAGCTGTTCCACTTCAAGCTCTAAGGTAGTGTTTTTCCTCTCCAGGGCGACGTTTTCCTCCTTCAGCGTGGTGTTTTCTCTCTCCAAGATAATAGTTTTCTTATACAGAGCCTTCCTTTCCTGCCTCAGGTTGGAGTCTTTCTGGGCATAAACTTTTTTTTCCCCCTCCAAGATGAAGTTTTCCCGCTGCAGGGCGGTGTTTTTCTCCTCCAGGGCGGTGTTTTTCTCCTCCAGGGCGGTGTTTTCCTCCTTCAGCACGGCATTTTCTTTCTCCAAGTCAGTGTCTGTTTTATCCAGAAGAACCCTCCTTTCCTTCCCCAGGTTGTAGACTTCCTCAGTATAAACTTTTTTTTCCCCCTCCAAGATGAAGTTTTCCCGCTGCAGGGCGGTGTTTTTCTCCTCCAGGGCGGTGTTTTCCTCCTTCAGGGCGGCGTTTTCCTCCTTCAGGGCGGCGTTTTCCTTCTCCAATACTGTGGTCTTCTTATCCAGACGAATCCTCCTGTCATGCCTCAGGTCGGAGACTTCCTCGGCATAAACTTTGTTTTCCCCCTCCAAGATGACGTTTACCTGCTTGTAGACAGAGTTTTCCTCCTTCAGGGCGGCGTTTTCCTCCTTCAGGGCGGCGTTTTCCTCCTTCAGGGCGGCGTTTTCCTTCTTCAGGGCGGCGTTTTCCTCCTCCAGAGTGTTGGTTTTTGCCATCAGGTTGATGTTCTCCTGTTCCAGAGCCCTGAATTTCTGCTTCAGGGCAGTGATTTCCTTGTCATAGTCCCTGTGTTTCTTCTCCATGGCAGTGTTTATCTTGTCCAGTCTGGCGTAATCCTCTTCTGAAGTCATGTTCATATCAACCAGCTTTTTAATTTCTTCATCCTTCTCCCGAACAAGCTTGTCTTTTTCAAATGCTGCTTGTTCTAATGTCATAACTTCAAATTTTAACTCCTCATTTGCTTTAAAGAGTGCATGACTCCCAAAGGACATCCTGCCGACTTCTTCCATGATCTCGTGGAGCTTCCGTCTCTCTCTCGCTAACATCCGTTGTACTCTTTCTTCCTCGGAATCAGAAGTCGAGGCCTTGCTACTCTGACTCATTGTTGATACTTTATGTCTGCAAAAATCGTTTTTAATCTCTTGTTGGGATGCAATCCTTCTTCTTGCTCTCTAGCTTCTGCAATGGTTATGACCGTAGAATTCAAGAGTGCAGCTTTTTGTGCATCACTCTTTGTGACATCAAATTGTGTGATGTCACAAATTGATGTCACTACCTCAGCAGAACAACTAGAAAACTGCTGAAGTTTGAATAAAAACAAACTTTACGGCTGAATGCAGCTTGGTTAAGCTGATGGCCATTGGAGACAGTTCAGCTGGTAAAATATCACCAAAGCTGAAATCCACACTTGGGAGACAGAGGCTCTTCAGGACAATGGACTGGCACAGCAGGGTGCCAGGACCAACGGTTAAAAGAAGAGTTTGTGCCCAAAGACAGAAAAAGGGGAAACAGGCGAGCATGTTACCCAACTGGTGCCTAGGAAGCCACCAATTCTGACTCTCTTTCTGGCTAATGTCCGCTCACTGGATAAGATATTGGATTTGTTACATCTGAGGGTGAGAGTTTCTGCAGAGATGGACTGTGCCATTCTTTGCCTAACGTAAACCTGGCTTAACAGTATCATGCCGTTGAGCCTTCAAGATCAACAGTATTCAGTTATTCCAAGCGGACTGCGACCAACACTCAGAAAAAACAATGTATGTCAGAAGGAGCAGGACAATGTATGTAAGTGAATGCAGATTGGTGAACGAACTGTGGACTGGTTAACAGCTATCAGCCATCCTATCTGCCTCAGGAGTTTACTACGGTGTTCGTCACCATTGTTTACATTCCGCTGGGTGCTAACGGCAACGAAGCATCGAAGGAGCTGTATGACACTGTTAGCTCAATGCAGATGAAGCACCCAGAGGCGTTTTACATGAGCCTGGGGACTTTAACCACGTGAAACTGCCTAGTTTTTACCGGCATGTCATCCAGTGGCGCAACTGCACATTATTCAGGTGGATGTCCCCCCCCCCCCCCCCCCCCCCCCCCGGGCACACGCCGGGGGGGGGGCGCCCCCGCC